GCGACAGAGCGAGACTCTGTCTCAAAAAAAAAAAAAAAAAAAAAAGAAATTAGAACAGGAAAAAAAAGCTGGATGTGTGGGGTTATTTTCATAGTTTTCTTTGGAGTTTATGTTGGTACATGAAAGTCAGTACTTTTGTTTGTGCATATTAATATGTTTCCTCACAGAAGTATCACAAAAGAGCAAGGGAACAATGTGGTTATCCTTGAGTTTTTGAAAACGTTATGAATTGTGAAGAATGGTCTTTTGGCCCAGGAATTAATTTAAGGAATTAGTGGGCTTGATTTCAGTTTTAGCTGCTGGTTCTTGGTTTCTAATTAACTTCCCCTATCTGTTCCTCAGTCTTTATGGAATATATATAAAGTTCAGTTGTTAAGGCAACTAGTACTAACCTACATTTGTATGATACTTTTTTCTCTTTTATTTTTTTATCTCCTCAAATTCCTTTTACCAAATAATTTTTTTCTTTACAAAGTAGTCTCATATACATTGTTATAGCTAAGATTTATAATAATCCTGTGATACACTTGACTCTCTTGGAACTTTAGGCATTAGCTGTTACAAAAAGCCAAAACATTCGGCTTATTAATGAGGAAAAGTTAACCTAGAGAAGTGGTGATTATATGTTTTATTTATTTATTTATTTATTTATTTATTTATTTATTTTTTGAGACGGAGTCTGGCTCTGTCACCCAGGCTGGAGTGCAGTGGCGCGATCTCGGCTCACTGCAAGCTCTGCCTCCCGGGTTTACGCCATTCTCCTGCCTCAGCCTCCCGAGTAGCTGGGACTACAGGCGCCCGCCACCTCGCCCGGCTAGTTTTTTGTATTTTTTAGTAGAGACGGGGTTTCACCGGGTTAGCCAGGATGGTCTCGATCTCCTGACCTCGTGATCCGCCCGTCTCGGCCTCCCAAAGTGCTGGGATTACAGGCTTGAGCCACCGCGCCCGGCCGATTATATGTTTTAAATGTGACTTTATAGTAGATGACATAAAATACAGAAACCTTAGATTCATTTACTATGCCTTTCTAATAAAAAAAAATGGAAGAACACAGATCCAATTAAAATATTTTGCTACCATGAAAACTAAACAAAGGGTTATAGCTTTTATTTTATATTTTTATGATTGGTAGATTTGTTTCAAAAATCAGTGAAGTCCATGAAGTACACTGTGTTCTCTTTCTGGCTTCTCAAAATCAGCTACTCCTGAATTAATTAAAAACAGCAATATATGAAGTATTGGATTATAGTGTTGTGTGATTAATGACTCATTTTACTACATAAAGAATAGATGTCATTATTCATTTATTTCACTGTAGACATGAGTTCTCGATGTAGTACATATAAGCTTTTCAAAAAGTGTATTCAGTAGTAAATACACTTTATTTTAACGCAGGGTGATTTCAAAATATTTTATTAAAATTATGCAATTGATGAGATATAAGGATAATTTTAAATTTAGTCCATTGTAATATTTGGATGCACTAGGTCATCCTGCAGTTGCTTTCAAATATTTGGCTCTGAAGAAAGTTTCATAGATAGATAGATAGATAGGTTTTTTGTTGTTGTTGTTGTTTTGAGACAGAGTCTCGCTCTGTCCCCCAGGCTGGAGTGCAGTGGCGAGATCTCCTCTCACTGCAAGCTCTGCCTCCCGGGTTTACGCCATTCTCCTGCCTCAGCCTCCCGAGTTGCTGGGACTATAGGTGCCCGCCACCACACCCGGCTAATTTTTTGTATTTTTAGTAGAGACGGGGTTTCACCATGTTAGCCAGGATGGTCTCGATCTCCTGACCTTGTGATCTGCCCGCCTCGGCCTGCCAAAGTGCTGGGATTACAGGCGTGAGCCACCGCGCCTGGCTGGTTTTTTTTTTTTTTTGAGTTGGGGTCTTGCTGTTGTCATCTAGCCTGGAGTGCAGTGGCCCGATCTTGGCCTACTGCCACCTCAGCCTCCCAGGTTCAAGCGATTCTTCTGCCTCAGCCTCCTCCCAAGTAACTGGGATTACAGGTGCCCACCACTATGCCCGGCTAAGTTTTATATTTTTAGTAGAGATGGGATTTCACCATACTGGCCAGGCTGGTCTCGAACTCCTGACCTCAGGTGATCCACCTGCCTCGTCCTCCCAAAGTGCTGGGATTACAGGTGTGAGTCACCGTGCCCAGATAGATGTATATTGTTATAATGTAATAAAAACATGACGATTGGGCCAGGCCCGGTGGATCACCTGAGGTGGGCACCTGTAATCCCAGCTACTCAGGAGGCTGAGGCAGGAGAATTGCTTGAACCTGGGAGGAGGAGGTTGCAGTGAGCTGAGATCGCGCCATTGCACTCCAGCCTGGGCGACAAGAGCAAGACTCCATCTCAAAACAAACAAATAAAAAACATGACGATGATGCAGAAGAGAAAAGTTTTAAAAGACCAGATTTTGAAAACTTGAAACTAACTTGGAAGTAGTACTGAGGCACCTGGCTTTTTTTTTTTTTTTTTTTTTTTTTGAGACGGAGTCTCGCTCTGTCGCCCAGGCTGGAGTGTAGTGGCCGGATCTCAGCTCACTGCAAGCTCCGCCTCCCGGGTTTACGCCATTCTCCTGCCTCAGCCTCCCGAGTAGCTGGGACTACAGGCGCCCGCCACCTCGCCCGGCTAGTTTTTTGTATTTTTAGTAGAGACGGGGTTTCACCATGTTAGCCAGGATGGTCTCGATCTCCTGACCTTGTGATCCGCCCGTCTCGGCCTCCCAAAGTGCTGGGATTACAGGCTTGAGCCACCGCGCCCGGCCTCTGCACCTGGCTTTTAAGATGGTGGTGGAAAGGACATATTTTGTTTTTCCCCAGAGCCTTGGAGTAATCTGCCTCATTTCAGAGCCACCCCACAAAATGCTAGATACAATGGTTGGCCATCATGATATGACAGAGTTTGGTAAATGTGGCTGATTCACATTTAAAGCTTGGTTTTCTTGACCTAACAGACTTAGTAATTATCTGATCTTTTTAGGGTGCTTAGCTTTGTGAATGTGATACTAATAGTATTTCAAACAAATGCAAGTTTTTGTATCCAAACAGATATTGACCCTTTGAGTTTTGCTACCTGGGAAGGCATCTACATTTATTCTAATAATTTGCCAGTGTTTGATTTTTGCATCTTCTCTTTTAGAATTGCCTTTAAAGCCTTAGCAATATTCCTGTCAGGACACTAAATGTGTAAAATTTTTATTCTTTGAGGGCAATTTTCAGAAAGAGCTAGACATCAGTCATTCAGAACCTTGTCAGATAAAGAAAGTGGATAATCAGATTGGGAATTTAAAGAATAGTGTATAGCTCTAACATATTGTTATGCCTTATAAAACTTATAAAAACTGGCTCCAATACTACTTTCCAAAAAATCTTTGAATTGTGGCATTATTGGAAAAAATGTACTCCCTTTCAAGGTGACTGCATTGAAGAACACTTAGTTGATGAAATGTACCCCCTTTCAATGTGACTGCATTGAAGAACACTTACTTGATGTGTAAGTTCAGGTTCAAGTGTTTAATAAGTCATCATCTTTACCACATAGTTGCATCTTGCATAAAAACTGGGGAATGTTTCAAAGCTAAACAACAAAGAAGATTAAATTACTTTGCCAGTCACCTAATAATTGTGCCTAGGCAGGTAACTGAGTAACAGGGATATTGACAGGTTGCTTTATGACATCAGTGGGAGCAGGTAGAAATCTACTGAGACAGTTGAGACTTCTGTGTGTTCCTTTGGGCTCAACAAAGTTGAAGGAATTTATAGCCAAATTCCTTAGGATACATATTTATTTTTATATATATAATTTTATACACATATTTTATATTTTATTATCTAATTTGAAAATCATAAAAATATAGGTGAGGAAAAGCTATTTATAATTACACCTATCAGAGAAGTCTTCATTGACCTTGTTTACGTCCTTTCTTCTATGTATTGTTTTATAATGTTGAGATCATAATGAACTTACAGTTTCGAATGTTGAGTTCTTTAAATGTATTTTGTTGGAATTATTTCCTCAAGGCAATAAAAACTTCTTAATGAGTCCAGGCACAGTGGCTCACACCTGTAATCCCAGCACTTTGAGAGGCTGAGGCAGGAGGATCGCTTGAGGCCAGGAGTTTGAGACCAGCCTGGTCAACATAGCAAGACCCCAGCTCTACAAAACAATTTTTTTTTTTTTTTAATTAGCCAGGCATTTAAAAAAACCTAGACCCAGCTAATAGGGAGGCTGAGGCAGAAGATCACTTGAGCTCAGGAATTCAAGACTGCAGTGAGCTATGATGGTGCCACTGTGCTCCAGCCTGGGTAACAGAGTGAGCGAGAACCTGTCTCAAAAAAACAAAAAACAAAAAAAGAGGGTGCCTGGACCATGGCTTACTCCTAGCACTTTGGGAGGCCAAGGCAAATAGATCACTTAAGCCCAGGAGTTGGAGACCAGCCTGGGCAACATGGGTGGAACCCCATCTCTAAAAACAACAACAAAAATACAAAAATTAGCTAGGCATGGTGGCTCACGCCTATAGTTATAGCGACCGGGGAGGCTGAGGTGGGAGGATCACCTGAGCCCTGGAGGTCGAGGCTGCAGTTAGCTGTGATTGTGCCACTGAACTCCAGGCTGAGTGACAGAGTGAGACCCTGTCTGGGAAAAAAAAAAAAATTCATGAACAAAATATTTACTAGATATTTTTTAGTTTTTTATTATCCATCTCCGTATGGTTTATAAAGTTTACTGGTGAGCTATTTAAACTTCATTATCAAATAAATAATAAAAATGTACATTATTTCTTCTTTCACGTTCATGGTTTCAAAAGTGTCAGAAAATAAATTATGAGGCAAAGACCCAGAAGGCATTTGATGGGATTATGCTTTCTTAGTTCCATAGGCTTCACTCAAGTTTTGTTTGTAAATGTTCTCTTTGCTAATATGCAGCCATAGTCACTTTTCTGTACACAGAACTAAGGGAAAAATTATTTCTTCTCTCGCTTGCTGAAGGTGGTTGGAGGCAAAGTAAAGAAGCCCGGTAAACGTGGTCGGAAGCCAGCCAAAATTGACTTGAAAGCGAAACTTGAGAGGAGCCGCCAGAGTGCGAGAGAATGCCGAGCCCGAAAAAAGCTGAGATATCAGTATTTGGAAGAGTTGGTATCCAGTCGAGAAAGAGCTATATGTGCCCTCAGAGAGGAACTGGAAATGGTAAGAAATTGTCAATAAACACATGAAAAAGTCACCCTAACAAATAAATAACACATTAAAATACGAAGATACCAGTTATCACCTGTCCAGTTGGCAAACATTGGAGAGACTATTAACCTGTTAGCCAGGATGGGGGCAAATAGGCATCTTCATACACTGCTGGTGGGAGCGGAGTGTACATGACTGTCACACTGAGGAACTGTTTATGAGAGAAGAAAATGGAAAATAACCCAGATGGACAACAATAAAGGACTGGTTAAATAAATGTTACTACATTCATATATTGGACTACTTCGTAGCCAGTAAAAATCACAATGCACATCTATTTACTGATGTAGAAAGATACTCACAATATATTGGCAAGTGGACAAAGCAATATAACAATGTGTAACTGTGCATGGCATAACCATTTGTGTTTAAGTGACTTTATTTATTATTTTTTAAATTTTTACAGTTTACTTTTTTGAGACAGAGTCTCGCTCTGTTGCCCAGCCTGGGGTGCAGTGGCGCGATCTCGGCTCACCACAAGCTCCGCCTCCCAGGTTCACGTCATTCTCCTGCGTCAGCCTCCCAAGCAGCTGGGACTACAGGCGCCTGCCACCACGCCCAGCTAATTTTTTTTGTATTTTTAGTAGAGACGGGGTTTCACTGTGTTAGCCAGGATGGTCTCGATCTCCTGACCTCGTGATCCACCTGCGTTGGCCTCCCAAAGTGCTGGGATTACAGGCGTGAGTCACCGCACCTGGCCAAGTGACTTTATTTATTTTACATGTTTTATTCACTCATCCATTCAGATGTTGGACAGTGGCTGTAAAAATGTGAAAGAGAGTTGATAAAACAGAATTGAAACTCCATTATTGTGAGTTGAGGAAGGAAGTGACAGAAGAGAGAGATGATATTACCGTGATCATTATACAACTGAGACAGGCTTCCATAGGTTTTTAGAAAGTAAGACAACAAGGTTGGAACATGAAGAGAGGGACATGAACAGTGTTGCATATATTGTCCAGATATATACTATTCAGTAGATTTTTTTGATATGTTGAATATGTGACATGCTATCAATTATTTCTTACTTTCTGCAGTGTAAGCCACTTGAGGGCAGGATCTTTGGTCAGCTTTGTCTTTGTGTACCCCCAAAGTCCCTAGCATGCACTCTGGTAGATAGTAGACGTTTAATGATTACTTGTTAAAGAGAGAAAGAAAATTACTGACATTTCTTTCTTTGTTTTGGGAGTAGAAATAATACTGTGACAAGTGTATATATATATAAAAGATGAATTCTAACTAGTGGCCCACTGTGGGGAGATGTCCTTTTAACCACAGGGGCCTTTTAAATCTGAGCAACACTCCAATACATCAAAGACGATTCAGCAGCTGTTTTTCCACCTCTTCTGAAAGATGGCAGATCTCATACATGTCTTCAGTTTATAAATAGGTAATACCATGGAAAGTGGGTTTCCCAGCAGCGAACATGACTTCTAGCCATGGGAGTTCTTATGTCTAGGATTTCTACCAGTGGTTCCTGAACTCTGAGGAGTAAAGGTTTATTTAAATATGTTTTACATATTTCAGTACAAGCAGTGGTGCATGGCAATGGACCAAGGAAAAATCCCTTCTGAAATAAAGGCCTTACTCACTGGAGAAGAGCAGAACAAATCTCAGCAGAACTCAAGCAGGCATACCAAGGCTGGGAAGACAGACGCTAATAGCAATTCCTGTAAGTACAATCAATGGGAGAGTTTATATTTAAGAGGGTATCTTGGCTGCGCACAGTGGCTCATGCTTATAATCCTAGCACTTTGGGAGGCTGAGGTGGGCAGATCACTTGAGCCCAGGAGTTCAAGACCAGCCAGGGCAACATGGCAAAACGCCATCTCTACAAAAAAATACAAAAATTCACTGGACATGGTGGTGCACACCTGTAATCCCAGGTATTCGAGAGGCTGAGGTGGGAGGATCACCTGAGCCCAGGGAGGTTGAGACTGCGGTGAGCCATGATTGTGAGACCCTGTCTCAAAAGGAGGAAAAAAAGGGGTATCTCAAGGTAGGGTTTCTGTTGACCACTTTTCTTAGTATGTCTTTAAATAAAATGTTGATGCCATTTTTAATACACTAATAAGCAAGTGAAAGGGCATTAGATTCTGGCCAGGTGTGGTGGCTTCTGCCTGTAGTCCCAGCACTTTGGGAGGCGGAGGCAGGCAGATCACTTGAGGCCAGGAGTTTGAGACCACCCTGGCCAGCATGGTGAACCCTATTTCTATTAAAAATACAAAACTTAAGCATAGTGGTGTGTGCTTGTAATCCCAGCTACTCAGGAGTCTGAGGCACAAGAATTGCTTTAACCTGGGAAGTGGAGGTTGCAGTAAGCTAAGATCATGCCATTGTATTCCAGCCTGGGCAACAGAGCAAGACTTCGTCTCAAAAAAAAAAAAAAAAAGAAAGAAAAAAAAAAGAAATGACATCAGATTCTAAATATTAAAATGCGTTTTACATGGAGTCTATAAAGAGCAACTGATAAATTTATCAAAATTTTATTATTAATAGACTTAGTCCATAAATGGGAGTGGCACTAATCTAGCTTTTTGTTAATAATACTACCTTTATTTGTATTTCGATTTACAGTTTACAAAGTACTTTCATTTATATTTATCTTAAATATTCCCTACAATGATTGTGTTAAGGAATTATACTTATTTTATAGATGAAAAAAATAGCAAAAGGCTGGGTAAGGTGCCCAAGGTCACACAGCTTTAATGGTAGAACCCGTCCTCACCTAGTCCAGGCTCCCTAGTGCAGTAGCCCATCACTGTAAGGATTGTTTTAATTGAAGTAAAATTCACTTAACATAAAAATTGAGAGCCATTTAGTACATTCACAATGTTGTGCAACCATCCCGTCTATGTAGTTACAAAACATTTGATCACCTCAAAAGATAATCCTGAACCCATTAACCAGTTAATTCCCATTGCCCACTTCCGCCAAGCCCTTGCAACCATGAATCTGCTTTCTGTCTCTATGGATTTACCTATTCTATATATTAATATTTTATATACATGGAATCTATACAGTATGTGACTTTTTGTGTCTGGCTTCTGTCACCTAGTATAATGTTTTCTTTTTTTTTTTGAGACAGAGTCTCGCTCTGTCACCCAGGCTGGAGTGCAGTGGCCGGATCTCAGCTCACTGCAAGCTCCGCCTCCCAGGTTTACGCCATTCTCCTGCCTCAGCCTCCCGAGTAGCTGGGACTGCAGGCGCCCACCACCTCGCCCGGCTAGTTTTTTTATATTTTTTAGTAGAGACGGGGTTTCACGGGGTTAGCCAGGATGGTCTCGATCTCCTGACCTCATGATCCGCCCGTCTCGGCCTCCCAAAGTGCTGGGATTACAGGCTTGAGCCACTGCGCCCGGCCTAATGTTTTCAAGGTTCATCCACATTGTAGCGTGTATCACCAGTATTTAATTCCTGTTTATGGTCAAATAATCATATATATACAGTTGTTTATCCATTGATGGACATATGTTTTTACTTCTCGGATATTGTGAATAGTACTGCTCTGAACATGTGTGTACAGTATTTGTTTGCATACCTGTTTTGAATTCATTTGTATATACAACTAGGAGTCAAATTGCTGGGTCATATGGCAATTCTATGTTTAATTTTTGAGGAATAGTCAAACTGTTTTCCATAGTACCTGAAACATTTTACATTCCCACCAGCAATGTATGTCTGTTCCAATTTGTCCACATCTCATCAATACTTATTTTCCATTTTTTAAAACTATAGCCATCCTAATGGGTATGGAGTGATATCTCATTGTGTTTTATTTGCATTTCCCTAATGTCTAATGATGTTGAACATATTTTCATGTGCTTGTTGGCCATTTGTATGTATTCTTTGGAGAAATGTCCAAGTCCCTTGCTAATCTTTAATTAGGTTTTGTCGTTGAGTGGTAACAGTTCTTTACTGTGGTTGCAAAACCTTTATCAGTTACATGATTTGCAGATATTTTTTCCCCTTCTCTAGGCTTCTTTTCACTTTGTTGATAGTGTTCTTTGATGCACAAAATATTTTAATTTTGTTGAAGTCCAATTTATCGATTTTTATTCTTTTGTTACTCATGCTTTTGGTGTCATATCTAAGACTCCATTGCCAAATCCACAGTTATGAAGATTTACCTGCCTCATGTTTTCTAAGAATTTTATGGTTTTTACTCTTTTATTTGGGTGGTTGATCCATTGTGAATTAATTCTTCTATATGGTGTAAGGTGGGAGTCCATGTGTTGCATGTGAGTATCTAGTTGTCCAAGCAACATTTGTTGAAGGAACTGGAGACTTTAAAATGAATATGTCCTACGTTGATTTCTTCATTATTGTTATTACTCTGGGAGCACTTTAAATAGCTATAAGGAAATGTTGCAAACCTTTTTTTTTAATTAATTTTTTTTTTTTTTAGGTCAACCTCTGGGAGCACAGAACAACTTTTTTTTTTTTTTTTGAGACGAAGTCTCGCTCTGTCACCCAGGCTGGAGTGCAGTGGCGCAATCTCGGCTTACTGAAACCTGTGCCTCCTGGGTTCAAGAGATTCTCCTGCCTCAGCCTCCCGAGTAGTTGGGGTTACAGATACATGCCACTGCATCCAGCTAATTTTTTGTATTTTTAGTAGAGACGGGGTTTCACCGTGTTGGCCAGGCTGGTCTTGAACTCCTGACCTCAGGTAATTCACCTGCCTCGGCCTCCCAAAGGGCTAGGATTACAGGTGTAAGCCACCGCACCCGGCCAGAACAAACTTTTTATGTTTTAAATATTTTTTACAAAATTGAAGAAATTGGCTTTTTGATAACTTTTATTAGATGAGATAACATTTGTCTTCATGTAGGTTGACAACTGCACTAAAATCTCAGACTCCACCACTATACACTTCGCCCATAACCAAAAACCACTTCTACCCCAAAAGCTACTGAAATGTTTAAAAATTAGAAAAACAAAACATTTGCCTTCATCTAAATTAAATTAATGGAAAAAAGCCAAATCAGCTTTTTTTTAGTCTGTGTTTTTTAAAATTAACCTTACTGAAAATAAAATTTTGTGCATCTTAAAACAGATTAATTAAACTTTATTGACTTTTAAAGCATTCTTACATTGATAACTTTTATTTTTCAGGGTGAAGATTATATAAAGATGAGTCAGTGATTGAAGCCAATATTCTGATTCCAATGGAAGATGGATGGGCAAGAGTGTACTTCTTGGCTCCATTTACTACCTACTGCTCAGTAGTCATCTCTGTAAATCTGCAGTTTCTACCAAAATGTGTGATCATAGATCTCAAAGGATCTGGCTTTAACTTTCAATACTTAGCAAATCTACAAACATTCAGACCTGTCTGGTCGGTGTTGCCACCCACGACATTTAACATGTTGTGATGCTTGAAAACACAGGAGTAGAGAAAACGGATGAAGATTGTATTTTTGCACCTTAACTCCACATTGCTTTATTGGTTAATTTATATTCTTTCCATGTAATTCATGTAATTGTATGTCTGTGTGTGTTTATATCACCACCTTTCATGTTTTTGATTGCCCTACAAAGAGAAACCAAATGAGCTGATTACTGTCTGTAAGTTCTCAGCCTTTATGGACCTAATCTTATTTTTATTTACTTGAGTAATGTTTATTCTCTGCATGAACCATGACTTCTCCTGTGAGCCATTCCAGCATAAGCTGTGAATATGTATTAACAAATATATACATTTCTATTTTTATAATCCATAAGGATATGCCTGTTTTAAATAAAATACATACTAACAAAATCTATCAGGAAAACCCTGAAGACAGCTTCTAGTTAAAACCTTTGTTGCTGTCCTCTCAAACTATATTTATAAAAATTTGCTAGGGCCAAATCCATACTTGCAGAATAATTCATCAAATTTTATTTTTAAGTGAAAAGTAACCTTTCAGGCATTTCAGCAGCATACATTGACAACCTAGGGTATATATGTATGTATGTTTCTTATTGTATGTCTATATATGTATGTGGGGAGGACAGGAGTGAATGTTCACACACATTTTCTTGCGTACTCAACTGAATCAGAGAATGTTTCTGAAGAAAGTAGGATGAAATTAGCTGCTGAGATTGAGTTTCTGCCTTAAAATCTGTAACAAAAAAGGGGACAAATTGCTGGTAGATCTATTGACCATAGCCATCATCAGAACACTTAGTTTCTTCCCAGACATGAATTTCCTGACAGGCTCTGAGCCAGAAACACACTGTGGGCATGCATCTGGTTCAGCCCTGGCTATGCCTCCACTGTGGAGGGAAGCATTGGAACTGGAGTTGTGCACAGCATTGCAGCTAGTGGGCCTGGCTGGGGGTGCAGAAGAGCAGGGTAATTCTTTCCAGTTCCCCTTGCAGCTACACGTGCTTTCTTCCTGACTACCAAATGGAGTGACGGTTGAAGAATCAAGCTCATAATATAATAAACCCAGACAGACCCAGAAATCTTTTAATTTCCCCAGCGAGATACTTTATCACTCTCTTTTCTCTTTCCCATGGTTAAAACAGGAGTTTTGTTCTCTGTCGCTGCTAAATTATTCTTCACTCGAGTGAAGCAAATACTTAGCTTCCAAATAAAATACGTTGTGTTCTGAACTGGCAGTTTAAGAGGAGATACTGTAGTCTAGATTGTCTTTGAGGTAGAACATGCGATGGACCACATAGTTTAAGATTACAAGGTACTTTCCCTCTTCTCTCAGGCCATGCATTTGAATAAAGTGCCTCCCTTTAGCCTGAGCTTCTAAAGACCTCTTGTACTTGGGTTGCAAACTCAGATCTCTAGTCTAGTCTAGTCTAGTCTAGTCATGTGTGACTATGTACTGAGATACCACTAGCCCAGTTTGCTGGGTCTCTCTTATTTTTTGGAAGTTAGGGGTTTAATAATATTTAATGTCTTTTTAGGATCATAAACATAAATAGATTTGTTGATATTCAGGCCTTCAGAATGTAAGGGTTTTAAATTTAGCATTCAGATTGTAATTGGTATGTTTTTGCCATCTGGTCTACTCAATTGTATATGTTTATTCTGCAGAACAACCCAAGATTTACTTTATGTTGCTTTGTTCAGTACCTTTTGAATTCCTCCAGAAGAGTTGTTTTCAAAACAAACATTCCAAAATGAATGTGGCTCTTCAGTGGAACGTCTCTATTGTGCTTGAAGTATTTCTTCTCTGGTTGTAATTCTAAATTACAGAGTCATTTGAGCTTCCTCCCCTCCCGCTAGTATCTTTACAGGAGCAGGGAAGAGCAGTGACTTTATCCTCAGGTAGAGGATGTGTAATTTTGGGTGAAGTTAAATTACAATTTATTTGAGGTTATTCCTAAACCTATTTATTTGGTATTTTGGAGGAGATCACACTAAGAGAACGTTGATTGCCTCGGCTATTGTGCTGGCTGGACACTTTGGTCACTTTTGAAGCATGTTAATAAATGTCACTGATTAAAACAGCTGGAGCATTTCCTTCCCATTCCAGTGAAGGAGCAGCAGAGTGAAATCCTGGCACCCCTCGCCTTCTTGTGATGACAAGAAGGCTGACAGTCACAGAGTCCAGGAGAAGGTGCTGCTCTCCTTGCTTTCTGAGTAAACAGAGTAATGTTTTCTTTTTCTTATTTTCCCAAGGAAAGAAAGGGGGAAAATATATTTGTATGTTTAGACCAGTCAAATTCTGTCATTATTTTATCTTCAACCTGCTGTATATTAGAGCAGCTGAATATAATATGGAATAAGTTTGACCAGGTCAAGTTTTAGGATATAGTTGAATTTCTTTAAAAAGTTTTCTATTTTATCTAAAATCTTTCTATTATATCTAAATCAGAATGATCGTCCTGCAGCAAATTCACATTACTGTTTGCTGGCTAATCGACAGTATTTATCAGCATCACTGTGTAGCATTCTATTTTAGCATCTTTGAATTATGATCATTTGATTTGGCTAATTACCAAAAGTACAGGTTTAAACTGGACTTACCTTGAGTTAAAGGCAAAGAAAATCTAAAAACATAAATGTTATGTTTCATAAGAAATCAGTTGCATATTATCCATTACATACTTAGTTTTTAAAAGAAGAGTCACCTTGAATTATTTTTTGAGTCACCTTGAATTATTTGATCTCTCAACCTGCTTTCTCATCTGTAAAAAAGGGGGGAGGATAACTTTCACAGGGTAATTGGTAGCCTAAATAGGAGTTACAGAAAACTGTTTGTTAAATAGGAAAGAACTACATTAAATTTAAATATTCACATTATGCCTGTGTTTGACTATTGTTAGGATTTAAATCACTAAAGATCAATATATTTAGTGAGTTGGACTCTATGTAGTACTGTAGATATCACATTTCCCAAGTCATCTTAGCTATATCATGTCTGTCCTTGGAATGGTATAGTTGGAGGCCCTTTTTAGCAATAATAGCCTTCTTTTGATTAGACTAACATTAAGAACAACTAATATTCCATCTGGCAATATCATCCTATAATTATCCGCATAAAGCAGGCTTTCAGACTGCTTGGTAACTTGGCTCTCTTCTATTCCATCCATTTCACTTAACTACGAGGTGGTCATGAATCAGTGGCTGGACTGCCTTGTAAGGTTGAGCTGATTTTGCACTGCACAAAAGTATGCAGTTAAGGAGGCGAATGGACCTAAAAATCTAGTTCACATTCCCCTCAACAAGCTATGTGTGGAGGAAGGGGCTCCTGCCTTCTCACTAAGGTGTACATGTCTCCCCAGAAGAGATGTCTTTTTCTAATTTGCCCAAAGGGGATACCTGTCTTAATTTATCCACCAGGGGGTGCCTTTTTAAAAATGTGCAGAGCCGTGGTGTGTTGCGGCTGGCTTTTGCTGGCTCCCCAGAGGAGAACCAATTGTGTGCATCTCTTCCCAACTTGATGTGCAGTGACATCAGGTTGGTAGCTTTTAATGGACAATGGTAGGAATATTTATATCATAGAAATTAGAAATTGCTGCAGATTGTGGATCCCCCACCCCCTCAGTCAGTTTCTAACACACCACTGAAAAAGGCCCAATGTAGGCTAGCATTGCATTTCCCAGAGCAGGCACACTGGAGTTCCAAAATGTGTATGATTAAAGGACACATAGAGCTAGAAGAACTCTATATAAAGTTTTAGGCAGCTTGGAGATGTCCGTATCAAATTCAGATTGGTTCACAGACACATGGTCGTTCTGACTCAGAAACTGTTACGGGTCACAAAAGAATATGCAGTCCAACTCTAGAAATGACTAGGAAGTGAATCAGCTGAATTATTTTTGAGATGGAGTCTTGCTCTGTCACCCAGGCTGGAGTGCAGTGGTGCCATCTCAGCTTACTGTAGCCTCCACCTCCTGGGTTCAAATGATTCTCCTGCCTCAGCCTCCTGGGTAGCTGGGATTACAGGCATGTGCCCCCACGCCCAGCTAATTTTTTTGTCTTTTTAGTGGAGATGGAGTTTCACCATGCTGGACAGGCTGGTCTTGAACTCCTCACATCAGGCGATCTGCCTGCCTTGGCCTCCCAAAGTGTTGGGATTACAGGCGTGAGCCAACACGCCCAGCCGAATCAGCTGAAATCTTAAGCCTTAGGGTAAAAGCAGGCACAACCAATTCACCTACTGTGTTGTGATACAGTTCACCAGACACTCCTGGATTGAGGAGGGCTAGAGCTGGACAGTGAACTCAGGCTTACAGGCCATTTTGACTTTGCAGTAAGATAAATATTTGGGCAGGAAAATTTTCCCATGATCCAACAGAACCCAATCCAATCTTACCATGCCTCAGCAACCCTTTCCTGAGAAGGAAAGCAGTGCTTGGCAAGCATATTATAAACCTGAGCCCAGGTTTATCCTCTTGTGTAATCAAGTCTATGGGGTGGATGTGACAACACCTGTGCCTAAGCTAGCCAAAGGCTGTCCCAAGCCAACTCTGAGTTTCAGATGTTACCACTTAAGTGGAACAGAGACCATGCTTGTCAGCATCACAAGAAAAGTTTCTACAAGACTTATGGCAATAAATAAATACCTCTAAACCTGCTCCTTCTCAAGCAAGGACAGGCCTCATCTGCCACAAAGGAAGAGAAAGAATATCAAAAAAGTAAGGAAGAAAGAAAACAAAAAGATAGCCAAGCCTTTTTTCAGAAGGAGGAAGATAGTTCATATAGGGGCTGTATTAGTCCATTCTCTCATTGCTATAAAGAAATACTTGAGACTGGGTAATTTATAAAGAAAAGAGGTTTGATTGGCTCACATGTGGGTCTGCAGGCTGTACAGGAAGCATGACTGGGGAGGCCTCAGGAAACTTACAGTCATGATGGAAGACAAAGCAAGAGCAGGCATCTTGCATGGCAGGAGTGGGACCAGGGATGAGGGGGTACCACACAATTTTAAACAACCAGATCTTGTGAGCACTCACTATACAGTACCAAAGGGGGATGGTACTAAACCATTCATGGGAACTCCACCCTCATGATCCAGTCACTTCCCACCAGTCCCCACCTCCCAACACTGGGGATTACATTTTGATATGAGATTTGGTGGGGACC